CCCCAAAACCCCAAAACCCCAAAACCCCAAAACCCCATTGGATGACAATTGTGAAATTTTAGATAGCCTTGATAAAAGATAGACATATATATTTTAGATCAAATTTGCATAAGATTCTTTAGTTAGTCTTCCTCGCTAATCTGAGCCTTTTGTGCTCCAGAATTTTGCTAAGCAGCTGGGACATAGCTTGGCACATTTAGACCATCTCCTAATTGTTCATTAATGATCTCCTCATCTAGCTCGTTCAACTCATCCATTAGTTCACTTTCATCGTACTCTACTTGATAAGATCTTGACATAACTTCTTAAATTTCTTGTTGATCAGCCATTAGATCAGCTAGGTCATCAAATAGATCCTCCATTTTATCGAGGTCAAGCTTTTTCATTTCTTATGCTTATACAGCAGTAGACTCCTTCAAAGCTGAGTACTATTAAATTATGGTTATTTTATATTCTTAGTAATAATGGACATTCGTCAGAATATCCAAGTATGAATTATGGTTATAATCTATGGCTAAATCTTACAGTTTCGATGGTATTTTGAATAGTCTCAGAGGTGAATTGCACCTAATCGATGTTGAATTACTGATTCATAACATTGCCGAGTTGGACATCATACATCTTTCTTCTACGAAGAACATTTAAAGCCTTCTATTAGAGTGATTTGTAAGCCATTCCTTTTGCAGTCTTCATCTAATTTTTAATTGCAACTAATTCTTTATTGCATTCGTCTACTTTGACTTAGATAACTTTGCCTCTGTCCCCTAGCTATTAATCTTAATTAGATTTATTCTTGTACCTTTGAGGAAGTATCCTAAAGTGTAGGAGCAGGTGGCTTTGGCTCTTCCTTCTTTTTTGCTCCGAATAATTTCTTCATTTTATCTATTATTTTATCTAATTATAATATTGATCTAATTTATTCTGATTGATTATTTTACAAGTATAAATTCAAATTTAAATATGCAGGGCTACGGGAATAGCAATTACATCCAAGGTTAAAATGATAATAAAGGTGGTGGATAAAGCTTTGAGGTCTATAAGAAAATCAAGTTGCTAGGCTAAGGAGCATTTGGCAAGGCTTTTCTAGTGGAGTGTCAAAGTGATAAGACATTAGCAGTAATTAAGTAGGTTGACATTGGAGGAATGTCAATGAAGGAAAGAGAAGACACTTTGAAAGAAGCAAAAATTTTAGAAGTTTTTAATCATCCAAATATAGTCAGATTTAGAGAAGTCTACAAGACAAAGAAAGGTAAACTATGCATTGTTATGGATTATGCTGACGGAGGGGACTTATAGAAACTTATTCAGGCCTAGCTTGGCAAAGCATTCAGTGAAAATTAGATCTTAGATTGGTTTACTCAAATAAGTTTGGCAATGAAACATATTCATGATAGAAAAATTCTTCATAGAGATATAAAGTGCCAAAACATCTTCTTAACCAGGTCAAAAATGATAAAAATGGGAGATTTCGGTATTGCGAGAGTCCTCAATCATACTCATGAGGTGGCAAGATCAATGGTTGGCACTCCTTATTACCTGTCTCCTGAGATTATTCAAGGACGCCCTTATTCATTCAAAAGTGACATTTGGTCTCTAGGAGTAATGTTTTACGAATTATGCGCCTTAAAGCCTCCATTTGATGGAACAAATATCCATTTTCTTGGAATGAAGATTGTTAAGGGAGAATATCCTCCTCTTCCATCTCAATTTAGTAGAGAAATAAAGAACTTAATCGCTCAAATGCTTAATCTTGATGTTTCAAAGAGAATAACCATTAATTAGGTGCTTAAGACTCCAATTATAGCTAGAAGAATTAAGTAATTCTTGAATGAGGATGTTTTTAAAGATGAGTTTTCACATACTATTCTACACAAGCACAATGTGATGATTCATGGTCCTATAGTCAAGCCACCAACTTAACTTCCCTAGCTTGACAAACCACCTCTCAGCAGATAACCCTCTGCGCCTTAAATTTAGCAACAATAATATCAAAGACCAGTTCAGAATCCTGTAATGAATAAACAAAGTCCAGCTCCTCTACCTTAACCCTTGTAATAATAGCCTTAAGCATTTTAAAAATAAGCTTCTCCTGGAAGATTTAATCCAAGTCCAGTAGTTGGAACACCTTCAGCATAAAATTAGGTTAATAATGTATTCAACAGAAATCCTCCTTCAGCTTAGAGATAGCAGGAACCTCCAGCATCTGACTAATAAAGAATAGGATTCCCTTATAACAATCCTTAAAATGCTGTTGATAGATTTGAAAGAGAACGTCAAGAAAGGTTAAAGAAATAGGAAGAAGAAAAAAAGATGAAAGAAGAAAAGCATAAAGCAATGCTTGATGACATAAAAAAGAAGAAGGAGGAATTTATCGTAAAGAATGCCCCATAAAATTAGTAGCAGTAATAGAATCAATATAACAAAATAGGGCAGAGGGATTAAATTAAAGATTAAATTGTTGGAGTTAAGAACAAAATTCATGAACTTTACTCAAGGCAAAATTCTGCTTAATCTCAGTTAGCAACAGAAGAAAGTGGTTCAAAAACTCCCAGAAATGTGTTTGATGACAGAAGAGATAGAACTCCTCCTAAAGTTGCTATTTCAAACTTAAGGCAGAGAACTCCACAATAGCAAGAAGAGGAAAAGAAATAATAAAGAGAATTTAACAATAAGTACATTGAAGATCAGTATGCTTAGTACGTAAAGCAACTAAATAATGTTCTAGACAACAAAGATGATGAACAAGACAACAATAATGATGATGATGCTTCTTAGCCATTAGAGAATGAACAAGATGGAATCAATAATAATTAGGAGAATTTAGGTCCTGAATAAGATAGAGATGACGACGCTGACTTTGATATAACCCCAACAAAGATCTAAGAGAGGCAAGATTAGCTTAAGGATTTCGAAATTGAAGAAAATGAACCCTTCAACTTGGCTGATCTAAGAGTTTCAATGGTATAAAAGCCTGACGAATTGAGAGAGTCAACTAATTTCTTCGAGTAGATGCTACGTGAGTAAGTTGGAGACGTAAAATACAGGAAAGCAGCTTAAATTATTGACAAGTTCAAAGGAGGAGAAATATTCTTTGAGAAGTACGAGCAAGCTTTGGTGAAAGTCTTAGAAAGAGAAGTCTTTAAGAATGAAGAATCTATTGCAGTTGAGTTTATTCGTTAATACTCAAGCTATAGTATAATGAAATAGAGTATGAATGGGGGTGGAGCAAATGCCTTCTACTTTGGAATAGGTGAAAACTACTCTAATTAGAATAACTATCTCTTTATTTGACATAATTCTAAATTGAATGGCTCTTTGAATTGTGAAGCATTATAATCTTTAATTTCATAAATAATTTTAATTATATCTCTCACAATCGTCATTTATTAGGTTATCAGATCATTTCACATAAAAGCTGGAGGTGATTTTGGCTTTAATTCATCAGCTGCTAGAAATCCTTCAAACTAATGAGCTTTTTGGAAGCTATGAGGTGCTTCTCTAAGTTAATAAACGCAGTCCTCCACACATGAATTCTCATTTGAGTCCATACTTTTATTGTCAAAGTTGTGAATACATGCGTCGAAGCACTTAAATATTATATAGTTGTACATCTCATGAGGATAGAGAATCTCTTTAACTTGTGGTGCACTTGATGGCTGTTAAATAGCTTAAGGCATTCCTGGCTGCTATTGGGCTTGCTAAAATAATTGATTGAAGCTCATTGTTTTTACTAAATTATAAATAATTAATTTGCCCATAAATTAATATATAACTAGACGGGGTTTTGGGGTTTTGGGGTTTTGGGG